CACCGGGCAGAACTGGCGGGGAGGGTGCTGGGCTGGACACGGTCCGGGGGTGCAGGAGCGGGGTGCAGGAGGGTGGTGCAAGGACGTGCATGGGCAGGGCGTGCAGGAGGGGGGTGCTGAGCTGGGCAGGGGGTGCAGGAGTGGCCGTGCAGGGGGTGCAGGAGGGTGGTGCAAGAACTTGCATGGGTGGGGGATGCAGGAGCGGGGGGTGCGAGGACGCATATGGGCAGGGGATGCAGGAGGAGCATGTAGGGAGTGCAGGAGGATGGTGCAAGGGCGGGCCTGGGCAGGAGGTTGCAGAAGGGGGGTGCTGAGCTGTGCACGGGGTGCAGAAGGGGGATGCAAGGACATGCATGGACAGGGGATGCAGGAGGAGGGTGCTGAGCTGTGCACGGGGTGCAGAAGGGGGATGCAAGGACATGCATGGACAGGGGATGCAGGAGCGGGGTGCTGAGCTGTGCAAGGGGTGCAGGAGTGGGGTGCTGAGCTGCGTGTGGGGTGCGGGAAGGAGATGCTGGGCTGTGCATGGCTGGGGGGTGTAGGAAGAGCTTGCTGGACCGTGCATGGGATGCAGGAGCGGGTGCTGGGCTGCGCGTAGGCAGGGGGGGCAGGAGGAGAGTGCCGAGTTGTGTAAGGGAGATGCAAGGACATCCATGGGCAGGGGCTGCAGGATCCTGGGGCTGTGCACAGGAGAAATGTGAGAGATTGTTAGGGTTCTGGGTCATGCAGGGTGGGTGCGGAGGAAAGCTGGGGTGGGTAAGTAGGGATGGGTGGGACAGATGGAGGAGACTTTGTGGGGGGAGTTGTTTGGCCAGAGAAGGTGGCAGCCTTGGTACAAGGCATCGCATGGGCCGCTGTGTGATGGCCTCTCCTGTCCCTTGTCCCAGGCCAATGACGCCTGCAAGTGCAACGGCTGGAAGAACCCCAACCCTCCCACTGCCCCCCGCATGGACCTGCAGCAGCCGGTGACCAACCTGAGCGAGCCCTGCCGGAGCTGCGGCCATGCACTGGGTAACCCCCCTGCGGAGTACCCAGGACCCCCCTGGGGAGGGGGAGCGGTGCTGACCCCCCCGGTCTCACTGTGGCTTTCTCTCCGCCACAGCGGACCACGTGTCCCACCTGGAGAACGTCTCGGAGGAGGAGATCAACCGGCTGCTGGGTATGGTGGTGGACGTGGAAAACCTCTTCATGTCAGTGCACAAGGAGGAGGACACGGACACCAAGCAGGTGTATTTCTACCTGTTCAAGGTGTGTCTGGGGCTGGACACGTTGCGCAGGGGTCCCTCAGCATTGCCAGGGAGCTGGGGCTGCTGTCCTGCTGCTTGTCCTCTGCCTGCTCTGCTGGGAGCTGTGGTCTGTGGCTGTGAGCCATCCCACCAGCCCATCTGGAGACCTGAAATGCTGACCCTGTTCTGGGGGCGACTGCTCTCCTGGCCTTGAATTCCCCTGGGAGGGAGGTTTCCAGGGAAGAAACGGGCATGCTTCGAGGTGGACCCTGGCACCTTCCTGGCTGTGTAAATCGGTGCAGCCCCGCAGCAGTGTTCTGCCACTTCCACTGCTCATGGTGTGCCTGGTCTTGGGACCTCGGTCCATAACTGTGTCCGATGGTGTCTTCGCAGCTTCTGCGGAAGTGCATCCTGCAGATGAGCCAGCCTGTGGTCGAGGGGTCCCTGGGGAGCCCCCCCTTTGAGAAACCAAACATTGAGCAGGTGAGGCCTCTGTCAGGCTCATGCGTTGCACTGATGACTTGTCCTGTGTTTTGCTGCTCTTGCATGGTCCCCTCCCTCTTTGGGGGGCAGCACCGAAGGGTCTGGTGCAGCACCCGGTGCCCCTCCACCATCCCTTCCTCTCCACAGGGAGTCCTGAACTTCGTCCAGTACAAGTTCAGCCACTTGCCACCCAAGGAGCGGCAGACCATGTACGAGCTCTCCAAGATGTTCCTGCTCTGCCTCAACTACTGGAAGCTGGAGACACCGTCCCAGTTCCGGCAGCGCTCCCAAAACGACGATGTGGCCACCTACAAGGTCAACTACACGAGGTGAGGGCGGGAGGGGGTCTGAGCCAGCCAGCCTGGGGGTCTGCCCGCTCCTCCCACCCCTGCGTGGGGCTGGCCCCTGACTCCTGGGGTCTATGCCTCTCCCCTGCTCTCCTCGTCCCTGCTTCCAGTACTGTTGTCCCAGGAGGGATGTGGATGCTCTGGGGTCGCTGGTCCCAGCCCCGTCACTGGAGCGTGTTCTTGTCTCCTAGGTGGCTGTGCTACTGCCATGTGCCTCAGAGCTGCGACAGCCTTCCCCGCTATGAGACCACCCACGTCTTCGGGCGCAGCCTCCTGAAGTCTATCTTCACGGTCACCCGCCGGCAGCTTCTAGAGAAGTTCCGGGTGGAGAAGGACAAGCTGGTGCCGGAAAAGCGGACACTGATCCTCACCCACTTCCCCAAGTAGGTGCCCGATGCGGGGATGGCTGCTGCACCGCTGAGGAGGCTCTCCTCCCTTGGGGCACTTGCACACCGAGCACGGCCGCCTGTGCTCCCCACTGTGTGCGGAGCCATGGGGCTGTGCGTGCCCGGTGCCTGCTCTCCGGCTGACGTGCCGCTCCCTGCCAGGTTCCTGTCCATGCTGGAGGAGGAGATCTATGGTGAGAACTCTCCGATCTGGGAGGCTGATTTCACCGTGCCAGCCACAGAGGGTGCCCAGCTGGTGTCTCGCCCAGGTATCTCAGGGAGCAGCCCCCCCGGCTTGGGGGCTGTAGGATAAAGGACCGAGGTGGTGGGTGAGCCTTGGCCAGTGGCAGCGGCTGGGCTGCCACGGTGTGGCGAGCTGCTTTCTGGCAGTCACGGGCATCGTTGGTCTCTTCCAGCCGCGGTCAGCACCGTTGCTGTGCCCACCACTCCACTCTTCAGCAAGAAGCTCAGCAACAGCAGCTCTGCCGCGAGCATGGATGCCAGCACTCCAGAGCCCCTGCCAGGTAGGGCTGGTGTGAGCCCAACACTGGGAGAGCTGGGACCTTCCTTGGTCCCTCCCGGTGCTGGATGTGCCGCTCTGCTCCACGCCCCAGGGGAGAAGCGGAAGCTGCCCGAGAGCCTGACGCTGGAAGATGCCAAGCGGATCCGCGTCATGGGAGACATCCCCATGGAGCTGGTGAACGAGGTCATGCTGACCATCACGGACCCCGCTGCCATGCTGGGCCCCGAGGTACGGGGTGGGGGGCACTGAGGCGGCACCGGTGCTCTCCAGGGCCCGCAGAGCTGATTTCCTGATGTGCTGGGGCCTGGCTGGGCTCCCCCCATGGAGGGTGTGCTGGGGTCACTGAAACCCCCTGCACCCCCCAGACCAGCCTGCTGTCAGCAAATGCGGCACGGGACGAGACGGCCCGACTGGAGGAGCGCCGTGGCATCATTGAGTTCCACGTCATCGGCAACTCACTCTCGCAGAAGTCCAACAAGAAGATCCTGATGTGGCTGGTGGGCTTGCAGAATGTCTTCTCACACCAGCTGCCCCGCATGCCCAAGGAGTACATCACTCGCCTCGTCTTCGACCCGTGCGTGGCTCGGGGGGTGCGGGGGGAGTTGGCAC